GAAATGTATTGTAATTGTATTGTCTCCCTTATATTGTAAAGCTCTGCTCAAACTGTTAGTGCTATATAAATCCTGTATAATAATAATTATTATTTCTTTGTGAGTGGGCAAACATTCAAAATCAGCAGGGGATCAAATACTTATTTCCTTCACTGAATCTTTCTGGTGACACTCTGGGAAATAGGACAGTAAAGAAAATCGTCTTCTATTCCTTCTGATTCCATTATTTGCCCATTAGCTGAGGTGATTCTTTCCTGTTTTACTCTGGTCAAGGTGAATAAAATAATTTCTGTCATTTGCCAAGAAACACACAAAGCATTCACTTGTTTCTTGTTGCTTGTTACTGTTTTTATTCCTATTTTTGATCTTTAAAGCAGACTCTGTAGTAGAAGCACCATCACTATTGATGCTTTCTGTTTTTCCACTTATATTCATCCATAAGCTTGCCCTTAACGTATTCCAATGTCGGTTCATCATCTGGATGTTTATCAAGTGCTGTGACAAGCTTTTCAGAACTTTCTGGTAAACCACTAAGTAATAGTGCTGCAACATGAAAATGTTTTATTTCTTCTCCTATACCTCTCAAGTGTTCAGCCATCTCCAAAATGTGTCTTATGTAATCTTGCATAATCTTGATGGCCCTTCATCAGCTTGGTTTGGTATAGCTCTCTAATCAAATACAGCATATTTCTGAGCTCTTTCATGCACCATTTGTAATCCTTCCCACATTTCTTTAGCAGTTTCACACTTACACATATGTATGATTTGATTATCTTCTATGCTAATAGAGATTGTGCTCTGAGCTTTTTGATCTTTCTCTATCCACTCATCTGAAGGGTGTTCTGGCCTAACTTCATTTGTACATTTCCACATACATTCTCTTATTAGCAGCATTTTCATCTTGAATTTCTAGTACTGGTAGTTTTTGATCTGCCAATAGACAATGATTATCATAGATGCAACTACAAGTTTATAAACTTTGCCGTCTACTGGTTGAAGAATATATCTCTACTGAATACTGATGTAGTAGTTGTTGCACAAAATACATGAACACTCTATACCAACATAAATAAATTCAGCTTCATCTTACTTGAAATATGTTTTTGTCCTTTAAGTTGACGACGACCTTGAACATGAAATGACAACTTCTGGGAATTTTGACTGCTTCTCCAAGATACGTTTGCATGAAGGATCAGTTACTTGTTTTGTTACAGAAAGGCCTGGTGAGAACAATGGCGGAATCAACTTCAACATATGGTAAGGGGATATTAAATCTTTGTCTATTAATATAAGGTCAAATGACCAGGACACAATGGAGTCCATCTAAAGTAGAGGGGTTATAACGTTTGTCAGGATTTTTATGGCTACTGGTGTCATTGGAACAAGAATAGAGGGAAACTACTTGTTTTGGTAAGAGCCGCTGTTTTGTGATTAGATAGATTTTAGTTTAGATAGCTTTAGTTAGATTTAAGTGACCCTGGGTCAAATGTAAGGTTGGTCGGCTCGGTATTATAAATCCAAAAGACCTGGTAGAGCTCTGGCAGGATAAACAGTTATATTTTGCACTTATCAAAGTTGTAAGAAAACATATTTAAAGGGGATTTAATTTTTTTTTTAAGTCAGCAGCTACAAATAGCGTAGCTGCTGATTTTAAGAAATATACACTTACCAGCCTGTGAGGTCTTCTTTAGAGACAATTGTTTGCTGGGCTTCAGCTCTCCATTGCCACCATCTTGGATATGGAGTAAGTCTCACATCTGGAATAAGTTTCACCCCTGCCTCCCCGCTGCACATGCATGAGCCAGGACAGTGCTGTGGGACTGGTCCCGCAGCATTCTGGGGCACGTGACATATTTCAGGAGGTTGCGGGAGGGGGAAGGGGTGCTGCTCCAAGCTTACATAATTTTCATCTAGGCAAAAGCTGATGAAACGCCCAGAAAGTGTGTGTGTGTGGGGGGGGCACAAACGGTACTTTCACTTTTAAGTGATGGTCCGCCTTAAAGTAGAACTGAAAGGCAAAGCTTTTTTTTTTATTTTGGATAGGGCATGGGGAGGGTTATAACTTTTGTCAGTTTCTCAGTTTGTGCCACAGCCAAGACAGGATATGAGAGAAAGTCTCTCCAATGTGAGGGAATCCTTAGTTGTCACCAGAACAAGTGGCTCTATTGGACATTTTACCCTCTATTCCTGTTCTGATAACAATCCAAAATTTGGTATAGCACCCTCCCAGATTAGGTTGCTAGAGAGCTTCAGGTAAGTCTAGTTGTTTTGGCTCCTCTGTAATTATTTTTGACTGTTTTGGGTGGCATTGGCTGCAGGATCAACTGCTTCCTCCTGCCTACTAGTGGATTCTGGAATGTAGTGGGTTGGAAGAGGCAGACCTTTGGCCTGAATATGTATGTGGTATCAGCCAATCCCTAGGGAAGAATATCCAGTAGGTGACTGAGGAGTGCATAAATAGTATGGGGCCTGGAGCAGCAGGGTTCATGTCCAGGAGGAGAAGACCCCATCCTGAAGGGCAGCAGGAATTCACCAACTCCTAGCTCAATGTGAACTGAGGGGCCTGTTTTCTGGAAATTGCTAGAGCCAAATCAAGGAGAATCACTGAGGGTCTGGCCTGGAGATTCCCAGAAAAAGTATCTGACCGAAAGCGGACGGAGGTATTCGAAAATAAAGGAGCATTGTGGGTATAGACTTGAGTGTAGTATCCTAGTGACTGTTTGCTGTTCTAACCCTTTGAGCATCTGCTCCAGTGCTGCTGAATTGGGACCTTTCCTATGCTAGGAGTCCCAGGGTTGCTTGTTGTCTACCAAGAGGGGGACTATCCTGCAGAAGTGTAGACAAAGTGAAGAGTGTCTAATGGTTTCTTTGTGTACTAAATTCAGAGTATCCCAAAGCCCACCCTGCACCCCAACCAAGTTCAACAAGCATTAAAGCATAAAAAGACATTCCTGGCCTGGTCATTGACTTGTGAGACTGTCCAAGTTATTGTGTGCCTGGCTGCTTGTATACCCGCTTAAGAAGAGAACCATGGAGCAAATCAATAAGAGGGTACTACCCTCAAAACATGTAAGCCAGCTAGAATCCAGGTGATGTCTTTCCAAGCTGAGGAGCGTTTGTTGTAGATCGAGCAAATTTGATGCTGATGCTTACTCTGATGTGCTTTGATATCTTAGTGTTTGTGAGTACGATTGTGTTGGAGTATGAATAAATGTGTCATTGGGATAATGCACTAGGATGGTGCACCCTCTGTGGTTTTTATAGTCTGTGTTACATTGGGATATATTTTTGCCTTTAGTTATCCTTTAACATACTAAAAGGTAGCAAAAGAGAGTAGTTCATTGTTATTGTTTTCAAAAGGTTTATAGTGATGTACACCTGTGTGATGGCATCCCCATATAGGACAAATCACTGGGCACCATGCTTATGTTATCATCCACACATGAACAGAGACAGCGCTTCAATGAATAATATCAAGAACCGGGACCACATGCATTGAGACCAAGGTGCTGACCACAGTGAGCTTTGAGTGAAACACTGTGATCCCTCACAAGAAAGTGAAAAATACCAGACAAATATAACATCCGTCGTACTAAAGATATAAATATACTGTCATCTCACAAGAAATATGCCAAACATATCACAACACATCTTAGTGGCAGCTCTCAGTCTTTGTGCTAAAAGTATCATCAATGAAACATGAACAGAAGTAATGCTATAAAAGGAAATTTTAAGTATTTTCAATTATTTTTTTTTAGGTAATTGTTTTTTTATATTTTTTTCATATTGCATAATTTAAAAAAAATGTTCCTTTTTATCATTTTTAATTACATATGCAAGCCTTCAACTTTCTGAGGTTAGAAAGAGGACACCTTTTATCACAAAATATGCATATAATGGACAAACCCCTGCCAAGCCACCAGTTATGTGGACCATGAAGAACTAAGGGCAAAACTTTCTTTGGTTTCAGAGAGAGCAGTGGTCTCCAAAGTGTGGCCCGGGTGCCAGATGCGACCCTTTGCCTCTCTTTATCTGGCCCTTGAGCACTATTACATATTCCACTGATGCCAACAATAGGTCATAATTCCTGTCACAGACACCAATAATGGGGCACAATTACTCCCACAGACACCTACGAAAGGGCATAATTCCTTCCACTGAAACCAATGATGGGGCAAAATTCCTTCCATTGGCAACAATTGGGCAAAATTATTTTCATTGATACCAATGATGGGCTATTATTCCTTTCACTGACATCAGCAATAGGGCAATATTCCTCTCACTGACACCAATGAAAGGGCACAATTCCTTATACTGACACTAATGATAAGGCATAATTCCTTTCATTGATACCAACAATGGGGCACTATTCCTCCCACTGACACCAAGGATGGGTCTCTATTCCTCCACTGATACCAATGATGGGGTACTATTCCTTTCACTAATACCAATGATGGGGCACTATTCCTCCCACAGACAATGGTGTGGCACAATTCCTTCCACTGATACCAATGATGGGGCACTATTCCTTCCACTGACACCAATGATAGGGCACTATTCCTTCCACTGACACCAATGATAGGGCACTATTCCTTCCAATGATACCAATGATGGGGCACTATTCCTTCCACTGACACCAATGATAGGGCACTATTCCTTCCACTGACAGCAATGATGGTTCACTATTCCTCCCACTGATACCAATGATAGGGCACTATTCCTTCCATTGATAACAATGATGGGGCACTATTCCTTCCACTGATACCAATGATGGGGCACTATTCCTGCCACTGACACCAATGATAGGGCACTACTCCTTCCACTGATACCAATGATGGGGCACTATTCCTCCCACTGATACTAATTTCTACTCCCATTGGCCATAGCTCGCCCCCCTAAAATCTCAAGGACAGTAAACTGGTCCTTTGTTTAAAAACTTTGAAGACCCCTGAGATAGATTAATGGAGGGTTATAACCTCTGTCAGTTTTTTTGGCACCTGTGTCCCATTGGGGAGATTTCCCATCACGTCTTGTCCCATAGCCAAAACAGTAAGTGAGAGGAAATCCCTCCAAAGTGATGGAATCCCTGGTTGTCACCAGAAAAAGTGTCCCCATTGCAGAAATTCTCCTCTATTCCTGTTCTAGCGAAAACCCAAAATTTGGACATTTCTTTCACTTTCACTCTTGGTGATAGTGGTAAACAGCAAAAATATAAAGAAGGAATCCCCCAAATGGGAACATAAACAGCAATTATAACTGACAGATGTTCTAATCCCTCTCCACTATCCAAAACTAAAACAAAGTTTTGCTTTAGTTATATTTAAATACACACAAAACAATGGTACATGGGGCTTCGGCTTCTGCCCAAGCCAAAATTGAAGTATGTGTAAACCATAACAATGAGCTTCTCTTATTTGGTCAGTTTTGATCTATTAAATATACAATGTAGCTGTAGCGCTACCCCCACAGGGGCCTCTGGTTTTAATTGGTTCTCCCCCCAAACAGTACAGAGGCTATCAGCCACCCAGGCAACAGTCCCTTAGCTCAGGCTCCAGAAAACAGTCTAGGGGTTGTCTTTTTGTGATTTATTGATGGTAAAACTTGTAACAGAGAGGGTTTAGGGCATGGGCTACTCCAAACGATTGGCAAACAACAGTTACAGGATAATCTTCTTCTTAAAGTCATTCTAAACAGAGCAGTGTTGATTGCCATAATTAATTCACATAAATCATATGAGGTGGTATCAAAAAGGTCCAAGACTAGTTTTGTAACAGGTGAACAGATGGCAGCACAGGGCTGCACACACAGTCACAGGAAACACTGACCTTCATAAGTCAGTGTGCCAAAATACATTGTCCTGTGTACATTGGGAGCTGTGCAATTCGTGCTATTCTGACCACATGCATTGTCATGTCTGCTATTTCATCATGGACAGCAAGTTAGAACGAAGCGCAAACGTGAAATTCTGTGTGAAACTGAGCAAGTCGCTGGATCTCTGCAATATTGTCAAAATGGCGACCTTTGAGCTGGATCTTCATCTTTGGGAAAAGGGAACTTTCCAGAGTTGAGTGAATTGAAGGTCTTCCTGATGTCTCATCTCCCAGTGATGGTGTTCTGCTCTTGTAGAACACATGCCACTCAAAACACCTCGAACAACTCATTGCAGCATAGCCGTAAACTTACCGAATCACGTCAAAGGTCTCTGTGGCAAATTTGCCCAGTTTGACGCAGAATTTCACATTTGCTCTTTGTTATAACTTGCTGTCCATGATGAAATAGCAGGCGGCATAACACATGTGGTCAGAATAGCACCAGTTGCACAGCTCCCAATGTACACAGGACGATGTCTTTTGGCACACTGACTTATCAAAGTCAGTGGTCCCTATGACTGTTCGTGCAGCCTTGTGCTGCCATCTGTTGGTGTGTTACAAAACTAGTCTTGAAACTTTTTGATACAACCTCATATATCATGCCACTTTATTTTGTTTGTTTTTTTTTAATCCCCGAAGTACCTTATTCCTGCAGTGCTATTGGGTGGTCACATGATCTTTCCATGTTCTTTGGCATCTGCACGGAAAGAAGGAGCTTCTATTAATCTGCTGATGTATGCTTTCTACAGTGTGAGTCTGTGTCAGACCAGCCCTGATGGGTGCTGTTGGTCACATGACTAAAATGAAATAAATAGTTTTAGAAGAGCAATTCATATTAAAATATATATACAGTGGGGATCGAAAGTTTGGGCACCCCAGCTAAAAATTTGTATTAATGTGCATAAAGAAGCCAAGGAAAGATGGAAAAATCTCCAAAAGGCATCAAATTACAGATTAGACATTCTTACAATATGTCAACAAAAGTTAGATTTTATTTCCATCATTTACACTTTCAAAATAACAGAAAACAAAAAAATGGCGTCTGCAAAAGTTTGGGCACCCTGCAGAATTTATAGCATGCACTGCCCCCTTTGCCAAGCTGAGACCTGCCAGTGTCATGGATTGTTCTCAATCATCATCTGGGAAGACAAGGTGATGTCAATCTCAAAGGTTTTAAATGCCCAGACTCATCTGACCTTGCCCCAACAATCAGCACCATGGGTTCTTCTAAGCAGTTGTGTAGAAAACTGAAACTGAAAATAGTTGACGCTCACAAAGCTGGAGAAGGCTATAAGAAGATAGCAAAGCGTTTTCAGATGTCAATATCCTCTGTTCGGAATGTAATTAAGAAATGGCAGTCATCAGGAACAGTGGAAGTTAAAGCAAGATCTGGAAAACCAAGAAAAATATCAGACAGAACAGCTCGCAGGATTGTGAGAAAAACAATTCAAAAACCACATTTGACTGCACGATCCCTCCAGAAAGATCTGGCAGACACTGGAGTTGTGGTACACTATTCCACTACAAAGAGATACTTGTACAAATATGGTCTTCATGGAAGAGTCATCAGAAGTAAACCTCTTCTACGTCCTCACCACAAAAATCATCGTTTGAACTTTGCAAATGAACATATAGACAAGCCTGATGCATTTTGGAAACAAGTTCTGTGGACCAATGAGGTTAAAATTTAACTTTTTGGCCGGCATGAGCAAAGGTACGTTTGGAGAAGAAGGGGCACAGAATTTAATGAAAAGAACCTCTGTCCAACTGTTAAGCATGGGGTTGGATCAATCATGCTTTGGGGTTGTGTTGCAGCCAGTGGCACAGGGAACATCTCACGAGTAGAAGGAAAAATGGATTTAATAAAATTTCAGCAAATTTTGGATGGTAACTTGATGCCATCTGTGAAAAAGCTGAAGTTAAAGAGAGGATGGCTTCTACAAATGGATAATGATCCTAAACACACCTTGAAATCCACGGGGGATTACATCAAGAGGCGTAAACTGAAGGTTTTGCCATGGCCTTCACAATCTCCTGACCTCAACATAATTGAAAATCTATGGATAGACCTTAAAAGAGCAGTGCGTGACAGACAGCCCAGAAATCTCAAAGAACTGGAAGACTTTTGTAAGGAAGAATGGGCAAAGATACCTCAAACAAGCATTGAAAGACTCTTGGCTGGCTACAAAAAGCGTTTACAAGCTGTGATACTTGCCAAAGGGGGCAGTACAAGATATTAACTCTGCAGGGTGCCCAAACTTTTGCAGATGCCATTTTTTTGTTTGCTGTTATTTTGAAAGTGTAAATGATGAAAATAAAATCTAACTTTTGTTGACATATTATAAGAATGTCTAATTTGTAATTTGATGCCTTTTGGAGATTTTTCCCATCTTTCCTTGGCTTCTTTATGCACATTAATACAAATTTTTAGCTGGGGTGCCCAAACTTTCGATCCCCACTGTATATATATATATATATATATATATATATATATATATATATATATAGTTTTATAGCATCCAAATGTGTGTTTTTGGGACATTAAGGAGTCAAAGATGATTGACACTAGCTTTCATTTTGTTTAGACAGCATCTGCATCCAGTATATTTAATACTGATTTATAATAAAACTGAATGTAATCAATCAGCATATATCTCACCCTCATAATGTTTAGTAATAGGAGGACATTGAGGAGGAAAGGAGTAGATTGCCATTTGTGACTGTGTATACACCCACACGTAGGCTACAAAGATATAGTCATTTGGGCTGTACAGAAAAGGAGGACATTAACAGCTTAGAAGGCAAATGAAACTGGAGCATGCTCAGTAGATGGCAGCAGCTGGTCTGCTCACTCTCAGGCTGGAGTGGAGACACATTGAAGATGGGAGGGACAGCTGAAGGCAGGATCAACCAGGTATAGTTCACTCTACACATACCAAATGCTTTGGTGGCTCTGCAAATATGCACACTCTGTTATACAGCATGTAATGATAGTTTTTCTTAGTTTGAGTTTAATGACGCTTTAGGTAAATGTGAATATTGAACAGTCTATTTCTTCACATATGGGGACCATAAGGCACCTGGTTTGGCACCTTCTGGGGACCATTTGGCACCTGTTCATCCTGCACAACTGCACATCTGTATGTACCCAGTGCAACATCAGGAACACTGCACACTCCAGGACATTGATGAGGGAATGGCCAGTATTTGAGACCATATGAGAGACATATCAGTCCTTGCCAGGGGCGGACTGACCATTTGGAAACTCAGGCACTGCCCGAGGGCCTGGGGTCAGTAGGGGGCCCCATGAGATGCCCCTGGTATCTTTTTCATAGGCTTTTTTGAGTTTGGGCAAGGACACAGGGGCCCCATGATCCCCTACTGCCCGGGGGCCCCATGAGTTGTCAGTCCGCCCCTGGTCCTAGCAACCTCTGGTACTTTCATCCCAAAAGCACATAGTCACCAGGAATCATTTCAGGGCCATTGCAAGTCCCCAGGATAGCTGCCATCTTCCAGCTTCCTCTGGACACAATTCAGTGAGTGAGTCTGTCCTTCCTTTGGTAAAGTCTGACAGTCAGTTCCAGATCACTTCCAGTTCCCAGCTCTGCCACTACTGAGACCTCACAGAACAGCAACATAGTCCACATGCTGCCTCAGAGGCAATAGCCCCCTGAGGCTGGGAACTCTACTCCTTGGTAAAAGACAAGACAATCTCTCCAGAGCTTCAGACTATTTATCAACTTCCCAGCCATCATCTGGGGACACCTTACCAGGGACAGGCTAGGTCCTGCTCAATATTCAGGCTGGTATTTTGAATGGGGATGAGGTGATGGGGAGATATTGTGCAGTTCTGTCCTAGGGTGACAATGCTGCCCCACCATAGCACAGCACTGAGTGTTGACACCCTAGAATAGGAAGTGTGTTACTGGTTGGATCACCAGCACGCGCGGACTGGGACAAAAAAATAGGCCCAGGCATTTTAGACTGAGCAGCCAATTTTTCCGAGGGAGGGCAGAGACAGCTCACCCAGCAGAGAGACAGCCCAATCCACCACCGGGCTGTAACAGTGTGCCGGCGGGTGAAGGAGAGAGGCCATCGTTGTCCTTTCAGTGCGGCTGTGTGCAGCGGGCCGGTCGGAGCCCTCGGCGGCGCTTCCTGCCTGTCACTGTAGCCATCACTGCCGCTCCTCCTGTCAGCCCCACTTTTGGGCATAGCCGCACAGTGGGAGGTGAGTGGTGGCCACGGTCTGTGTTAGCTGTGTTCAGGCCACGGTCGCCTCTTACCTCCTGCTGTGCAGCCCGGTCATCAACAGG